GTAAGCAAAAAAAAATTTATTTAATATTAATATTAACAATTTTATAATTAATACATTATTGGTGTTAAGCTTGAAGCTTCATTCAGAACCTCCCAATTAGTGGAATAAATCAGTGGTTTCAATTACACTTTATACTTTTTAGTTTACGATCATTCATAATCTCTAAAAAACACAATTAAAATTAACAAAATATCCTAGCAACAGCTTGCGGTAGTCTGTTGTATCCATAGAGAAAGCATAATATTTAGTTTATAAAACAACAACTTTTGATTTCTAACCAATATTTTTCTTAACGGGTGATAATGATAATCAAAGGCCAGAATGACATTCCTCGCAAATTTTGAAGTATAATTAGTGGAAAAGTCAAAAGTTTGTTAACTTTTTCCAATAATTGAAAACTACTACCTACCACTAATTATGACGTTCTAAATGCTTACATTAAAATTAGGTGAACAAACTTCTACGGCTAATTGAAACAACAAATAATTGAAATTTATTCCACTGAAGTCGAGGTTCTGAATGGAGCTTTAGATTTTAGAAACTCTTAAAATTCGTAATAAAAATTCAGAACCCTATTTAAAAAAAGTTGACGATGGTAATTCAAAGACGAAACGTCAGTTTGAAAATTTGACAACATCGTCTTGTAGAACAAAAAAAGTAGTTATGACAATGTGAAATTTATTTTTGCATATCGAAATTTTTAAACATTTAAGTTGGCATTTTGATCAAATTGTGCAAACTTGCCTTTGTAACCAACCTTGTAGATCTCTGGTTTCCGAGATCTCAATGATAAGGCTAGACACACTGTACAGGGTGTCCCATTTTAGTTGAAATCATACGGTATCTCCGTTATTAGTAAAGATAGGAGGATGCGGTTTTCACAAACCTGTGCCACTTTTTTGTCAAACGGAAGATGCTGTCAACAACATTTTTATAACCCTCTTCGTTTCTGTGCTGCAGGGTCTTTTCCAAAATTTTGCACTTTGGGACAGCCTCTATATGTCGGTTATTATGGATGATATCGAGAAGGTGAAAACTGATTCTTGTAGAACTTTTTACGTAGAATACAGTGGCATCATTTTCTTATTAGTGGGCCGTGATAAAAATCAAAATTGTACTTACTAAAATATACCATACACTTATTATATTTTTGTTTGGAATTGATATATTTTACTTTTGAACTGTTACCACTCAATCTCTGAATATATTTTTCTTTTTTTAAAACGGAATTTATTATAACGGGATGGGTTTGCAAATATCTAAAAGCTTGCATTATTTGCTTGTATTATTAAAGAATTTTCCAAGCGTTCGACATTGTGTTAGTTGCCCAGTTTATTGCCAATAATATATTTCATATTTCAAAAATCCCCAAAATCAGAAATCGAGAAAGGACAAATCCAGGACTTAGGGAGGCCAGTGGCGGATACAGAGGGGGGGCCCATGGGGCCCGGGCCTCCCCTAAAATCTGTAAATTGGGTTAAATCTTAAGCTTTTGGGTTAAAAATGGCGCCCTAAAGAGCACATTCTATATTACTTTTTGTTTTGGCCCCCCCTAAAATAAATTCCTGTATCCGCCCCTGAGGGAGGCCATCATATGGGTCCATTGGTTCAAATTCATTGATTTGAGAAATAATAATTTAACAGAATTCTAATATTTTCATAAGAGTTAAGTTGTGAGGGAGAGCTCCATCTTGCTCAAAGTATATTTCACGTTAAATTAGCTAAAGGAATATTTAAAAGTTCCGATACGATAGCTTCCAAGATTTAAGTTTCCCTAATATATAAATAATTTATTAGTGGCTCCCAAAATAAAACAAGAGACAGGTAATATACTTTTAGTAATTCTTTAGTTTCTTTTATTGTAAGTCATGGCCTACTAATAAATATGATCTTTTAATATATTTTTTTTAAATATTACAGTAAATAGTGAAAATAAATATAGAGTGATATATATTTTTGAGAAGCTTATGGCAAGCCAGATCATATAATTTATCAATATACAGGGTGTTCCATTTAATAAAACATAACTTTAGTTCATATTTTTTAAAATATTCTTATCAGACTACGCCACCGTATTCTATGTAAAAAGTTCTACAATAAACAGTTTTCACCTTCTCGATACCTTTAACAATAACAGAGATACAGGGGGTGTCCCAAATTGCAAAATTTTCAAAAAGACCCTGTAGCTCAGAAACGAAGAAGGCTATGATATATTAGCATATGACAAGAATTGATTGACGTATTCAATTATTTTCGGTCACTTCCTGTTTCACCGGAAATGCCTACAACTTTTGATTTTTGAATGACACCCTTGTTATTTTTTTACTTCATTTGATAGAAAATGACATTTTCTGAATAGAATGACATAGCATATGTCAACTTTTGACATTTTCAATTAAATAAGATAGCATTTTAAATTTTCAATTTAGATTGCCATGGTATACGTGCATAAATATAACGAGAATTTGACTCGAAATACCAAGGGTGTGGTACCAAATTATTTGCAAAAAAAGACTTGTTTAAATTGAGATATGACAAAAACTGCTATTTGGGCATCTTTTAACCCGCCAGGACAAGAGACGGAAAACATTAGACGATCAAATGTATTTTTTCAAAGCTCCTTGTTTAAAAATTAGTGTTTTTAACACAGCCATGGTTTTTAACACAGCCACTCTAGATTGAAATTTAAAATACGTTTTTAAGCGAAAATGTCAAAAGTTGACATATGGTATGTCATTCTATTCAGAGTGCCATTTTCTATCGAATAAAGTAAAAAAATACCGAGGGTGCCATTTAACAATATCGAATAAAGTAAAAAAATACCGAGGGTGCCATTTAACAATCAAAAATTGTAGTCATTTGGTTAAACAGAAAGTGACCACGAACAATTGAGTACGTCAATAAAACCTAATTTTTGTCATATACTAACATACCAAATCTCGTTTATTGTCTGAAAAAATAAAAAAGTTATAGGGGTGAGCCACTTTTGCACCCGGTATACTCTCTTTTACTTTTAATAAAAGTCGCATCTATATCTATATTTTTAGATATTAAATAATGTGCCACAGTTTTTAAATACCTATACAGGGTGATTCTGCATCTTGGAATAAATTCACTGATTCAAAGATATTTGTTTTTTTAATGTTATATGTAACTATTTGCGCTCTTCTTCACGTGAGAATATATTATACGGCTTGTCTCAAATATGCGATATGACGTCATCGATTTTTTCTATTTTTTGATATAACAACCCTAATTCTTTACGACTATTTTTAAAGGGTAGGAAAAATTACAATTAAGACAAATATTGAGTTTAAAGAAAGATGTAAATGAATAAGACAGGTTTACGGCATCTTTCGTTTGACAAAAAAGTAGCCCAGGTTTGTGCAAACCACACCTTCTTCACTTCCATCTTCACGAATAATGGAGATACCGTATGATTTCAACCAAAATGGGACATCTTGTACAGGGCGGTCAAAAATATTTAGAATTGATATCCAACGGTAAAAAATATTTTTTAGTACAGTTGCAATATAGAAACGGGTCCTTTTCTATTTTGCATGAGGCTCACACGGAATAAAACTAGTTACCTTATTGTGTCCGTATTTTCAAACAAATGACTTTGCGCTCTTCGGGGCCCTTCGCGTATTCTTTACGGTTTTCTCGAGTACTCTCTCGAAATTTATTGCAATTTAAACACCCATTCATGCCATTTTCCCTTCGCAGTGGGCCTGGGCTTGTTATTTCGCCTAGTCATCTACCCTTTACGAAGAGAATTCCATATTAATATGTAAATTTTTATTTTCGCTAGACGCTGTATAAATATATACGGCGGTTTCTATTATCTTAATACAATTCCTAGACTCGTTAGCTTGCCTCTGTTAGCTGGTGCAGTTTTTTTCTTCCTTCGCCACCATTGCAAACAACTAACTACTTTATGAATATGTAATTTGCAACAGTTATTTTGAGTAGTGGCTTTTTGGAAGAGGGTCAATTAATTTCGGGGGTAAGTTTGGCGCGCAAAGGGTTGGTTTTTCAAGTGCTGTTTAAGTTTAAGAGGGAATATGTTAATGATAACGAATGATCTTTGATTAACAATTTATACGACAAGCTTTTGCCCGAAACTTCAACTATTAAAATATCGCGAGATATTAAAAAAAAATATACAACAAATTATTTTTTAAATATACGGTATGTTCGAAAAAAAAACGGCGTCAGCGATGGCTATGAAATGCAGATCGCTGTCATTTTATATGTAAATTTATATGGGAAATGTCACCGATTGTCATCAGATCATACGGTATTATGTTTGGAACTCATTGGAAATGATATATACAGGGTGAGTCTTTAATAAGTGCAAATATTTTCAGGGGTGGTATATTTCGAATCCAGGACTCTATGAGGTTTTTTTCACTAAAAAAAGATGTTGAAAATCGTGGATTTTCTTTTAAATTTCCCTGTATGTTTTTCGAAAACTTTTTAGAACTGCCTGTTCACCGCAAATTTTTCCACAGTATAATTTCTTAATCTCTGATATTACCATAGTTACGGCTTTATGGTTACGGCAATAAAAAGGATGTAAATACAGAAAAAAATACGGAGGTTCTCAAAATTTAAAAAAAATTTTTTTTTTTAATTTTCTAAGTTAAATAAATCGGTTATTTTGGACTTATCTGAAAAATGGTAAAGAGAAATTATGTTTCTTTTATCGAGATCTACCAGCCCTGAAAATATTTGCACTTATTTAAGACTCACCCTGTATAGGGTGATTTGGTTTTATTTTATATGGAACACCCGGTATATTATTACATTTTTGGAAACTGCTTTCACACTTCATAATTTTTCTATTATACTAACCTATACTATCTCTTTGAGATAAAAAATGTGTAAAATTGACAAGAACATCTTGAAAATCACCAATTGAACATTTTAAAAGTTGAAATTTGGATTATAAATTAACGAAAGTCTGTATATTCGATCTGTCTAAACCAACTGATTGGATATTACACAGTGAGACCAAAAAAAATATTTATTTCCGTTTGTTATAAAATTGTATATACCGGGTGCGTCTCAAAAGTGGCTCACCCCTATAACTTTTTTATTTTTAAAGTTAAAGAAACGAGATTTGGTATGTTAGTATATGACATAAATTAGGATTGATTGACGTATTCAATTGTTTTCTGTCACTTCCTGTTTCACCGGAAATGACTACAACTTTTGATTTTTAAATGGCACCCTCGGTACTTTTTTACTTTATTCGATAGAGAATAACACTCTGAATAGAATGACAATCATATTTCATCATATCAGACTTTTGACATTTTCGCATATGGTTTATTTGAAATTATAACTTGCGGTTCGTAACGAAAATTTCACTCGAAATACCAATTGTGTGGTACCAAATTATTCGTAAAAAATGCTTTTTCCAAATATGCTAATGAGCCACCCTCGTTCCGTTTGAAAAAATTGAAATATGATTAAAAATACGATTTGAGTATTTTCTAATTGGCCAGGACAATACACTAAAAACATTAGACAATCAAATCTATTTTTCCAAGGCTCCTTGATTAAAAATTAGTATTTTTAACATAACCATGGCACTCTAGATTGATTTTAAAATGTAATTTTATCTTAAGCGAGAATGTCAAAAGTTGACATATAATATGTCATTCTATTCAGAATGTCATTTTCTATCGAATAAAATAAAAAAATACCGAGGTTGCCATTTAAAAATCAAAAGTTGTAGTCATTTCCGGTGAAACAGGAACTGACCAAAAACAATTGAATACGCGAATCAATCCTAATTTATGTCATATGCTAACATACCAAATCTCGTTTTTTTTATCTGAAGAAATAAAAAAAATTATAGGGGTGAGCCACTTTCGAGACGCACCCGGTATATATATTGTATATAGTATATATCACCCTGTATAGAAAATGCCTGAGTCTAAATGGAAACAAAAATATAGAGATCATATGAATACAACTGTCAAGTCGATTGACTTCAATCATTCCAAATTAAGGTTGATTCTCACTACTATACCTTCCGTTTCCATTCCATATCCGTTCCGTATTTTTTATTGTATTGACGCTATACGTAAGCTTCCGTATCAGTTCCATACTCTTTATTGTACAATAAAATTTATATCATTACGAAAGTTTTATTTTAAAAATTTGTATCTTTTGAACAAGGTAATAGATTTAATTAAGAGGTGAAAGAATAAATAAATATCAGCAAAATGTAAGAACTTGACAACGCTGTTTCCGATACGTTTCAGTCCGTCCGCCAAAAAATGTATGGAACGGAAGGGAAACGGAACGTATAGTGTGCATTGTCCTATTCATTTACATGATATAATATTTTATGTAAATGGAAGGGAAACGGAAGGAAGCTGATATGGAAGGTATAGTGAGAATCAACCTTTATGCTGTCAATCATTCATCTGTATCACATGATCCATAAAAAAACTCTCACTTCATTTCAGCTACGAAGTTAACCGGGTCTTAAGTTACAACTTAAGATCTTCTATAAACATTTTTTGGTTCATTTGTTGGTATCTGTAATTTAATTATTGGTTGTACATTTAACTTAGATGGGGAATGAGATCTTGCAAAATATACGCGGCTAGACAAGGGGTGAAAAATTTCAGACTATGTATGACCTCTGCCCTTCTTTATTCCCACAGACCAGACATATTGTTGTTCGGCCCTTGCTGCTCCGCTGGACCCTTTTCTTAACGGCGACCTCACAGTGTCGGGTATCTGGGCCGGGAAATTAATTTTTGTACTATTTTTACAGTTTACTATATTTTACAACTTACATAGTGTCAGTTGTTCATAGGCGTCAAGGTGCAAAACCCGCCTTATCATTTTTTTTAAATCGGCTAATGGCATGTATTAATAGTAGACCCTGAAATCTACATAAACATAGTCCCAAATTGCGGCAAATGTCGCCTATTGATGTATAAAATTCACTACGAATTTACGAATTACGTTACTACAGCAAAATCGGTCTTATCCAGTTATATTTGCTTTTTATTGTCATTATTGTTGCAAATCCCGCATTTTTTTATAGGCTTTTTTCACAAGTATATATTACTACTGATGTCTTATCCATTTCAAATCCTTGGGTCAACTTTCGTTTAGCTGAAATCAGTTATTAGAAAAAAAATTGTCTTTAAAAAGCTACTGTGAACCACGGAAAACACAAATTTTCCTGCGGAAATACGTAATTTCCAAATTTCGCACTTAGAATAACTGATATAAAAAAAATACATTTTGCGTTTTATTTTTAATATTTTTCTGAACATATAAACACAAAAATTTTCCTGCGGAAATAAACTGTTTTCATTTTCTAAGGAAATTTATTAGACTTTGGAATAGCTGAAATCAGTTATATAAAAATAAATATATTTTTGCCTTTTAGAAGCATTCACGAATTGAGGAAATTAAAAATTTTCCTGCGGAAATAAACTGTATCCATTTTCTGAGGAAATTTAATAGACTTTAGTATAGCTGAAATTAGTTACATAAAAAATAAATATATTTTTGCCTTTTAGAAGCGTTTACAAACTCAGGAAAATAAAAAATTTCCTGCGGAACGGCTTGATTTTCATTTTCCATTTGTTCCTTATATTATCGGGTCTTGTAAAGTATAAGTACCCACGAATTTAGCATTTTTTTTTGGCAGAAAGTTCTATGCTTATAGAACAGTTTAAAAGAAAAAAATCCTTGGATGAAGCACTTTTGAACCAAAAAAAAATCATTTAAAAGTGTCTAAAATGCTAACCAATCTAATAATAAATCTAATAATATTTTTACAAAATCACAGTTAATTATTAAAATATAAAAACCACAGCTTAACACCCTCCACAAAGAAAAGGTAACCAAAGCAACCCAAATCTTAACCAATCTAATAATATTTTTGTAAAATCGCAGTTAATTATTAAAATATAAAAACCACACCTTAACACCCTCCACAAAGAAAAGCTAACCAAAGCAACCCAAATGCTAACCAATCTAATATTTTTGCAAAATCACAGTTAATTATTAAAATATAAAAGAAAACTTGCAGGAAAAGGTGCCCGGTGGCGTAGACGTACAGGCTCTCGTCTACCAATTTCAAGGTAGTGGGTTCGAATCCCACACCCGGCATTTCATCAGCCGACTATTTTTATTAAAATAAAAATAGTTTGGGTACCTAGGAGTCGACTCAACCTTAAATGAGTACTTGAGATTCACAATCCTGAGGTAATAATAGGCGGTTGAAGCGTAATGCTAGCCACATTACCTTCCTTGTATACCGAACGGCTCTAGTATGGCAAGCTGTACCTTGCTACTCCCAAGGCGTTAAACGCTATATACGGGAGCTATTATTATTATTAAAAGAAAACTGCATGATCCAATGATTTTTTGTTTTGAATCAGCCCTATTAACGTAAAGCTTTAATAAAAAAACAAGAATAAGTGCAACATTCCGAGGTACTTATAGTTTACAAGAACCTATATTATCTATTCTACCAGAATTGTTATTCCTCCAAGATATTTTACCCCACTGAGCACCCCTATTCGCTCCCGGGTCCCGTAAGCTTCTAAACTGAAAAATCTATGAAAAACAAAGTGCACAAAATGACATTGACACCATTCTTTGCGCGTAAAGGCTCGTATAAAACAAATATAAGGTCATTTTTCATGTAGCTGATTTCGGCTATTCTAAAGTCAAAGCATTTTTTTATGTAAAATAAAAATAAAAAATTTCCGCAGGCACTTTTTTGGTGTTTTTATGTTTAGAAAAATGTCTAAACACACCCCGAAGACTAGTTTTGATGTAACAGATTTCGGCTATACTAAAGTCCGAAAAATGAAAATGACGCATTTCCGCAGGAAAATTTTTGTATATTTATACTCCTTTACGCCTTCTAGGCCGCATATATAAAGTCATTTTTTATATAACAGATTTGAGCTAAACGAAAGTTGAGCCAAATCCTACCTTACCTAATTTTAATAAAATAGCATATTATCTAGTTAAATCAGGTTAAGATGCAAATATCTTGTAGCAAAACCAAAAATAACTATAAGCTAATCTTGAATCCGCCTTACTTGACAGTATGTATAGACAGGGCTTGAGACATTTAATAATTAAATACCCAGAATGACAAATATTTCCCATACGAACCTATGTTTATATTTGTAGTTTTCTTAAATCAACAAAGACTAGTCAAGCTAGATTTTAATGCATTAAATGATCGCAGATAAGGTTTTGACTCATTTTTAGAAAATCAGCATATCGGCTAGTATACAAACATTTTAAGCAGTTCCCGGTTTCAAAATTTAAATATTTATGCAGTTTCCAAGAAACTTACAAAACAAATGGGAGTTTTTATTGAATAACAAACCAATATCAAAAATAAAAATGAGTTTGACATATCTGACAGCTGACATAGCATTAAATTAAATAATATCTTATGATAAGTACATGTACACATGAAAGCTGTCATTTGAATAAAAAATACTACAAAATAGCGCTTGTGATAAATGGTCTAAACCAATATTTGTTACCAATACACGTAGTACTTATTTATTTATTTAAGTTGCAAAGATATCTCATACTGCAAGTAAGTAATTAGCTTTTTGTATATCCCCATATTTTTTTGGTGATATAGTAACATTTGAAAAAGTACCTAGTTTTAAAGACTGGAACTTATCAAACTCATTTTTGTTTTTTCCCGTCGCCGAATATGTTCATGGTTGGCGACAGTGAATTTAAAAATCGCGCCTTCGATTACGTATCTAATAGTTTAATTGGTATCAAATATATGTTTTTGAGGATTTTATTATTAATACAAATTTCATTATTATTTTGATAATAAACAACCAGTGGGAATCAAATATAACAACATAATACCTCAGTTTGGAATGGAATACCCTATAATATTTTCTTCAAAGACAATGTACGCCACTGGAGGCCGCTGTTCACTGCCAATTCTTTTTATCCTATTATTCTATTACGTTCTATTCCTTAACCACTGTATAGGTTTCCCATTCCGCTACATAAATATACCGGCCGTAATAAAATTTGTCACAGATAGGGTTAAGGCCATACGGCATGGTAATTAGATCTGTGGTGGTCGAAGCAGTCTCGTGTATTTTTTAGGTGGTTCTATGGATTCTATCTGTCATTGCGACAGATAATGATCGAATCGCATGCCCGTAGTGGACATTCCCATGGAATTTAAGGACAATTAGGCGTTTAATTGCGGTATGTGGTGTGGCGTTTGGTGGAATCTGTCTTATCAATTTGTCATCGATAGTTTTTTTCACATGGTTAGAGAAAATTACAGAAAAATACATCACGAAACATCAAAACTTTTTATTTAATTTTTTTTCAGAATCACAATATAAACCGCTCTAAAAAACAGTTTTTTGGTTTAGATCAATCACTTGCCAACTAGATGAAAGAGAATGGTGACGTCATTACCGCATTTCTTAAATTACTGCATATTATTCTTTTTAGTAATTGTCATTTTTATTTTGATTTAGAGTTTATAATTTTATTGACGGACATCGATCAATGTCAAAATTATAATTTGATTGTTGCTGTAAAACAAAATTCAATTTTTATTATTATTATTTATTATTATTTAATTTTACTTAGGGTGTATTCCGCTGCTTACCTTGGTTCTAGTTTTATGTTCCGTTTCTATCGGTTTCCTGAAAGTTTTCTTATTACGGAATACGGTTCCTTAAAATTCGGTTATAACTGTCATCAAACTAGTCAGCGGGGAAGGCAGAAGTTTTGTTTGTCAATCAATATCATTTAAGTGAGAGAAATCAAGCAAATATTGGAAGTTCGAGTGAAATTCTCATTGAATTTCTAAAATTTGTTATAATATTTTGTATTTACATCCAAAAGCAATGAAGGTAGGCAGTGAAGGTAAATAAATTTCATTAACTAAACAGAATTACTTTTTAGGACCATTTAAACATATCATGCAGTCATTGTTTCTTAAAGTCTTTTTCTTTTTTTCTGTCTTAATTTTAAAAAAAATATGAAAAACAAGACTACAAGTAATCGTGAATGTTTTGTAAGCTATAAAAATATAAATATTGATTAGATTTGTTTATTTGTTATTGATCTGTTTTAATATTGGACGGGCAAATCTTCACTTTAGCTGTCTAACTAGTTTAACAGTTTATTAATAAAGTACTTTTCAATATTAAACTCCATTGAAAAGAAGAAGCAAATGTAAAAGCGGAGAATAGGTACATTAAAAATGCATAAAAGATATATTTTATAATAAAGGTATTGAAATTTAGAAAACGTCAACATTTGACACTTCCAGTATTTTACCAAACCGTTCCGTATCAAACCGATGTTTTTCCATATTCGTATAAATAAAATATACTCAGTGTTCCCTATTTAACCCTGTGTACCTGTGTGCTGTTTCCGTGCCGCAAGAAGAAGACAACATAACTCAGCTCCATATTAATGCTGCATAAGTCTATTTCACCCGGATATCGATTGGACTTCGATTGCGCCAAACTCCGATTGATTGTTGTTTTAGTTCTGTTTGGATTACTTTTTATTTGTGCGCGTAAAAGGGTGATTTTGTTTAGTTTATTGTTTCCAACTATTTTTTGACATTTTCCAATACCATGATAAGGTGTTATAAATAATAAAAATATAAATAAAATTGAAGGTTAGGTGAAATGTCAGTCAACCACTTCCCTTTAAAAACACGGATCAATGTCAACTTCTTCAGGTAAGACATGCGCAGTTAAATGAGTATCCGGGTGAAATAGACTTATACAGAATTCCATATTTCTCTTTCACTGTTTGGGCTTCACTTTTTAGAGATTAGGCTGAGTATATTTAGTTATATGTATATGTGTTTTTCAGGAACTGCTCTTTACCGTAGTTTACCGGTCTGGTTGGCCTGGTTTTACAACGGAATACAGCCTTATTCTACTAATATTTTTGACGAATATTTGAACGATACTCTTCAATGAATTTCACATTTTTGAAACTTCCTGTATACTAGACAATGGACTAAAATTCTGAATAATCTATTATTACCTCTTTGTTAAGATTTCTCTGTATTGCCACTTATTATAATCTCTTATAAAGTTCTACATTTAACCTGGTATAATCACAGGTAATAATACATAATATTATATCGAACATCTAGACCAGATAAATGTGTTTTTTACAGAATCGTGTCCCAGTCATTTTAAACTTGTTTTTGGCGAAATATACTTGAAAAAAAGATCAAAAACAATTTATCCGACATATTCGTAATATATACGGCTTTTTTCAAACACCGGTTTTTTCTTACATATAAGCTTCTCATGACTTCATCTTCCCAGATTTATCTCTTATGTCGTTGGATTTCTGAATGGCCCAGCTAAAATTGAAGCCTCTCATTAACCTTTACACGAGAAATGGATGGCTTCTGAGAAGTAAAGCGGTATTATACAGGGTGGCGTAAAAAACATAACATCAAACGTCAAATCGTTTTCTGTAGCTCGTATAGATCAAAACGTACCAAAACCGCTTTTTAAAATAGTTAAATTACTGATCTATTAAATAAAAGGAATAAGGAAGTTGTTAAATATTATTTTTATTTAATTTTTTTTTGAAAAATTTGATTTTTTGAGAGTTCATTGGGTTTTTGATTTGTATTAATTCTAGTTTATTCTATAATTCGTTTTAGAATGTAGAATGTTTAGGAGGGGAGTTAATCACCGCGACCTTACAGATCTATTGTGTGTTCCCCTTTCTTGAGTTATAACGAGTTATCATCATACAGTCTCAGGGCTTTAACAAAAGCCAGTATCCGAGACGGCTCCACAGAGGCCAGCTCTCCATCCTCGACATCAGCCGTACCAAAGTTCATGGCACGAATGGTCGTCGTCTCGGCGCACTCAGTGATAAGGTGTTCTGATGTTTCCCCATTTTCCCCACAGAATCTGCATTGGCCATTGTTTCTCAGCTTCAGCCTACTGAGGTGTTCGTTAAAGAGACAGTGTCCTGTTAGAAACCCCGTGATAATCCGAAAATTGTTTTTATTTAAATCAAGGAAAATCTTTGATTTTTCTCGGTCGTAAGTTCTGAGGAACTTTTTTGAGTGTCTTAGACCGTTGGAGGACACCCATTTCAGGTTACGGATGGGGTCTTCCAGATTCTGGAAAACAGAACGGTTCTGGTCCAGTTAGTGGAGTGTTCGCTCCTTTTCTAACTAGATCATTTGCTTTTTCATTGCCTTCTATCCCTTGGTGAGCAGGCACCACAAGAGTAGTAGGACTTTATTTTCTTTGCCTAATTTGGTGAGCTTCTCTAGGCATTCTTTGACCAACTTAGAATTGATGGTTACTGAGTTGATCACGTTTAGTGCTGCTTGACTATCGGATAGGATGGCAATTTCCTGTTTTCGATATTCCTATCTAAGATAAATTGTTTGCATCTTTCGATAGCGTAAATTTCTGCCTGGGGTAGATGCCCATTGGTTCGAAGTATTTTTAGTTTTTGGCCCAAATGACCTATCCTTGTCCCTGCTTTGGTTTTGGAAGCATCATAATTCGTTTTAGGCAACGTTTATATGTAATTTTCGCATTTATTATTACTACATATTTGTCAAGATTATGCATGGTATGTAACTTATATGCTTGTCTAGCAGGGTATCTGTGTTTTTCTTATTAAATAGTTATAAATTATGTACACTGTACACTAATTTAGTTATTTTGAGAAAAAAAATGAATTTTAGGTAAATATATTTTATATTCCACTCTGTATAAACAAATTTAAACAAAGTATAACGCTTTTAGAAACCTTGATGTTTTGCAAAGATCGCCATTCTGGTTAAAGATAACTAATTTTTCTTCTCAGTCGCATGTTTTTTTAACTTATTATGACTGAGACTATGATGTGACTGTGATACCGACAGATACCTTTCAAGTCTTTCTTTGAAACCCCAGTAATAAATTCCATTTTATTGAGTCTGGTTTATACATAAAATAGATATTAAAAAACATACTTATTAAAAATTATACCAATAGTGACTTCATTTTAATAGCCTAGTGAAAGCTTATTAATTTATTAATATGATGTAGTTAAAAATTGTTATTTTTATTTCTAACATTCTTGTTATCTAGGGTATTTTTTTTATAAATAGTAAAAGTAATTATACAGCATGTCCCCGGATTGTCTTTACAAGAGGAAAAACTTTTTTATTGACATTGTGGGAAAAATGCAATCTTCATAAAAATTTTTGCTTGTTCTAAAATGGTTAATCCCGTTATACTTTTCCAAATTTCCATACCGTTTTAGAGAAAACCGTTTAAAAAAACGTGAAAATATAGTAAGTTGAATTTTCTTTTAAGAAGTCCTAAAATCAAAACTCGTTTCTATGGTAATATAATTTCGTGGAAAATATTTCTACTGAATGTATGCAGGGGTGGGGGTAGTTTTCACCCTGCCCGTACTTTTTCTTGATTTTTGTGAAAGTCAAACGTTAAAGCACTTGGCAGCACATAGGCACCCCAAATCTCATTTAAATCGGAATAACGGTTCTTAAAAAATGTGTTTATTTTTTTAAAGTTCATGCCCTCTATCGGACAAACGAAACACTTTTGTATAGAGGTAAATTGTGTACAATGTACTTATTTTGATTCCAGAAATACGTAGTAGTTCTATGTCCACGGAATATTGGGACAACCTGTATAAATGTCATTTTTAGGGTTTCGTACTCAAAGGGTAAAAACGGGAACCCTATTACTAAGACTTCGCTGTCCGTCCGTCCGTCCGTCTGTCTGTCACAAAGGTCTATCTTATGAACCGTTATAGCTGGACAGTTGAAATTTTTATAGATAATGTATCTATGTTGCCGCTATAAGAACAAATACTAAAAACAGAATTAAATAAATGTTTATAAATAAAAAAGTACTTTCACAAAACATTATATTTTAAGTAAGAATTTTACATAGAATCTTTCAAGTCCTCGGTGGCCGCGTGGTTAAAGCGTTAGGACTTTACTCTGCCATGACGTTGGAGCCGTAGTAAGGCAGGTTCGAATCCTATTCAAGGCGACTTTTTTTAATCATGTTTTTTTTTAATTTTAACATATTTTTACATATTTATTTTTACTTTTTACATCGTTATTATTGATTAATACAATTTTTAGTAATGTGTTTCTTCATTTTTTTGTAAATTACTTATACGCGCATTCAAAATTTCAGCTAAATCGGAAAAACAGTTTATAATAATATAGTGTCTAATGTTGTATAGATAATGAATGGTACGGAACCCTTCGTGCGCGAGTCCGACTCGCACTTGACCAATTTTTACTCATACTCAGACTATATTTATTTATTTTCTTTTCAGAATTGGGAACAATTAGTACTGTCCAAGCTACAGTACAACCTGTCGGCCGTAACGGGATTCGATTACATCGACCAAGTGATCGAGAGGTGCTCCTGGAGTGGCGAGAGTCACCTGTTGCGCCGCCATGCCCATACTCTGATCTCCATTTGCTCAACCGGTAAGTGGTGACATTTCGAATTCTTCTCCGACTTCTGACGCGCGCATTTAACGCACTTACGTAACACAAACCTAGTAGAGTCATTTAAATACCGCCGTTTGCTCTATGGTACTTCAGTTGACGGTCTGTGTAGTGTACCTAATTGAATTGGCATCTGTTTAAATCTTGTTGCCGCATTTATGATTTAATGAATGCATTTATTTTGTCTTTAATTTTTTTTAAAGACACATCAAGCAGTTTAAGCAGTGATTACTCAATGGTCATATTTTATGAAACACCCTGTATAAATTTATAAAAGATCTTAAAATATGTAAAACAACAAAATAAAATATACGTGTTTAAGAGTTTTTCCGAAAAACTCACCGGTTTTTAAATAAAAAATATTTTAATATTTGAGGGATAGTTTCACCCCCTTAGAATTCGGGTTTCGAAAAATCCCTTCTTATCGAACCTCTACACCCTAAAGTCAATCTGTTTTCCAAAAATCAGCTTTTTACGTCAAGCGCTTTAAGCAGGATCGTGATTAATCAATGACCAGATTTTTCGAAACATCCTGTATACATTTTTAAAAAATCTTAAAATATGTAAACAAACAAAATAAAATATACGTGTTTAGGCGTTTTTTCGGAAACGTGACCGTTTTTTAAATAAAAAATTGTAATATTTGAGGGGTGGTTTCACCCTCTTAGAACTGGAATTTCGAAAAATCCCTTCTTATCGAACCTCTACACCCTAGAATCACCCTGTATGCCAAAATTCATCTTCTTACGTTGAGTGGTTTGAGCAGGATCGTGATTAATCAGTATGTCAGTCACTTAAAGATTTTATATATTAGTAGTATAGATATCATATAAGTATAAGTAATTAAAATAATTATATTATATGATCTTATATCTTTACTTTTTACAGTAAAGTTTGTCTCTGTTATTTAACTGGAATTGTAATGATGAGTTGAGGGATGATTTGTTTTATATCTTTTTTTGACTTTTTGTGATGGATTATTGTAAGTTTAGGCTTTCTAAAATAGGACTGAAATGTGAAATCTGTCTTCATTTTGTTCTGAAATATCTATTTGTTCGGCAAAATATTTCACACGGGTTTAACTATATCAGATCATATTTCTGCAGGTACCTATATGCATTTGAAGGGATTTATTTTATTTTTGTATCCGTACGTTTTCCCTTTAGTGCAATAGAATAAATGAATGAGTCATTGTGGAACAATTAACTTCACTCTGTTGTTCAGAATCACCCATAAGGAATATAATTTTTCGAGATAACGAAAAACCAAACATTTATTAGAACTCACTTTAACTTGAATGGCCTGAAAACCTTTTCATATTCTTATATGTATGTCTCGAAATATGACACCAAAAAGTGTTTTATTTTGATTGCATATACCTTGGGGATTTCTATTAAATGGAATCTACTTAGAGAACCACTTGTAACGAGGCAAACATATGTTGTTTCTTCTTGTTTTTTTTTCTTTACTTTGACTAGTCTTTATCTGCATATTTAGATAAAAAATGGCGCCTTTTAATGCAGTTAAATATTTGATGAACATTTATATTCCGAGATTGAATTTGTCAACAGAAATTTAAATAATACTCAGAATAGTTTTTTGTTTGCTAAATTAATATGCCAAAATGCATTATTTGGTTTTGCTATTTTGTATGATATTTGTATACTGTATTAACACGTACTGTGTGATAACGATTGTAATATTGCTTGTAGTATTTCTGATCAAATTTAATTTTTTGTAATATAAAAATTTGTTAAAAAAGGGAAACCAAATCTATACTAATATATAAAATCCTTAAGTGACTGACATACTGATTAATCACGATCCTGCTCAAACTACTCAACGTAAGAAGCTCAATTTTGGCAAACAGGTTGATTCTAGGGTGTAGAGGTTCGATAAGAAGGGATTTTTCGAAATTCCAGTTCCACGAGGGTGAAACCACCCCTGAAATATTACAATATTTTTTATTTAAAAAACGGTCAAGTTTCCGAAAAAACGCTTAAACACGTATATTTTACTTTGTTTTTTTACATATTTTAAGATTTTTTAAAAATGTATATAGGGGGTTTCGAAAAATCTGGTCATTGATTAATCACGATCCTACTTAAAGCGCTTGACGTAAAAAGCTGATTTTTGAAAAACAGATTGACCTTAGAGTGTAGAGGTTCGATAAGAAGGGAATTTTCAAAACTCGTAATTCTAAGGGGGTGAAACTATCCCTCAATTATTAAAATATTTTTTATTTAAAAACCGGTGAGTTTTTCGGAAAAACTCTTAAACACGCATATTTTATTTTGTTGTTTTACATATTTTAAGATTTTTTATAAATTTATACAGGGTGTTTCATAAAATATGACCATTGAGTAATCACGATTCTGCTTAAACTGCTTGACGTTTAAAGCTGATTTTTGGCAAACGGATTGACTGGGGGTGTAGAGGTTCGATAAGGAGGGGTTTCTCGAATCTCACATTCCAAGAGGGTTTTCCAAACGCCCCTCAAATATTACAATATTTGTTATTTAAGAAACGGTTAGTCTTTCGGGAAAACTCTTGGACAAGCATAATTTATTTGGTTTTTTTACATATTTTGAAATTTTTTAAAAAACTATACAGGGAGTTCCAAAAATTTGGGTAACCAATGTAATATCTTAACCACGATTCTGCTTAAACTGCTTGACGTAAAAAGCTTATTTTTGGCAAACGGATTTTTCGAAAGTCAAATTCCAACGAGATGAAACTACCCCTCAAATATTACCAAGTTATATAATAATATCGCCATATTGTTTTTTCTCATGCTGACATAAATGTGAGAAAATTTTATCCAGTTTGTATGTTAATGGCAATTTTTGCTTTGCTTTATCATCACCATTACAAATGATTAATTCGACGCGAACGAAGTCGCTTGTACACGCTGGTATTCAATAATATACGGGATGTCACTTATGAATTCACGGGATGAATTATCGCGATGCACTCACTTTTTTTAGCCACCCTGTAGAAATTAAAATATATTCCTGAAATCTATCCGAATACATGCTTTAGGTCTGCACTTAAACAAAATACTTGAGTTTAACTTTGAAAGATCTAAAAACGAATTGCGAAAGTTTTTTTTTTAAATTCACCCCCGAGAAGGGGTAAAATAAATACATAAAATTATCTTTTCGAAATTTCGGAGAAACGGTAAGAACTAGAAAAAAAAGTTGAAATAAAAGTTGTGGAGCGTCAAATTTTACATAGAAACGATCTCTAACCTTTTTTTGCTCAGATGAAAATTAACCGAGATAGGGTAGTCAGAAGCTAGGGGATGGTAGTAGAAATTAAAAAAAAATATAAGTCGCTGAAAAATTCATATATTTAACATTTTTATCCAATTTGTTTGGAAAATTATAAATTTCAATTATGATTTTTTTAACTTCACCCCAAGAAGGGGTGAAAAATATAAATAAAGTGTTTTTTTCTAAATTTCAGAGAAACGGTAAAGGACTTGTTGTTTGAAAAAATGTTTCAATAGAAGTTGTCTCCTAGCTTCTAGCAACCCTATCTCGCTTAATTTTGATTTGAGCAAAAAAGTACAGAAACCATTTTTATGTAAAATTGAACGCTCTACAACTTTTATTGAACTTTTCTTTCTAGTTCTTACCGTTTCCCCGAAATTTCGAAAAAATTATTTTATTTATTTATTTCACCCTTATTGAGGGTGAATTTAAAAAAAAATCTTTCACAATTCGTTTTTAAATCAAAGTAACTTACAGTGGCGGATACAGAGGGGGACTATGGAACCAAGGCCTCCCCTAAAATCTATTAATTCGGTTAAATATTAGACTTTTGGGTTAAAAATTGCCGTCTAAAAAGCATATTCTACATTACTTTTTATTTGCCCCCCCCTAAAATAAATTCCTGTATCGGCCTCTGGTAATTTTATCAAAAATTCAATTTTTTACCAAATATTCGTATTTGAAGGCCTATTTTCTTGGACTATATTGGTCCGGGTAATATGGAAAATACTTTAATCGTAATGTAAACAAAAATATAGAGAGATGAACCTTTTTTCAATTCATAACCAAACTTTCTTTTCTGACACATATTGTTATATTCTCTTTGAGAAAAAATTCAACCGAAAAATCAATACAAAAAATTATAGCAGTTGATTTTGGAAAGTCACTAATTACTCTTTTATGGCTTTTTTCGGATGGGTGAGGGCGGTAAAGCACCGAATTTACTCACCACCCGTATTATGGGGGTGGTTAGGCGTAACGCCGGAATTTGGGGTGAAAGGTGCCACTCTCGATTGTTCTAATGTTATTTTTCGAGCTGAGGGGGTGAATTAGATGATTGATTGGTTTCGACGATGGGAATCATTGGAAATTTAGACAAATATTTAGTTTTCCACAAATTATAATGAAACAATAGTGCCACTGATCAAGTACGCATCATATGGATTTATTTTTTTATGAATTGTTTATCTATTTTGGCAGGGATTTACCGGTTTTTTCGGTACTGACTAATTTTTATTCAATGGTGCTGCAGTACATCAATCAGAAAGCAAAGGATGTTTTTTCAAAGTAAAATGGATAAAAAAATTGAGATTTTTAATTAAAATAATATCAAATTATTAAGTAATCAGTAAAATAAAACACTAAATCAGCACAATACACCAAAACACTTTTACTTTTACACTGGACGCGCGTTTCGCTAACCATGTTAGCATCATAAGCAGATGATTATAAACTAAAGTACAATCTGCAAGTTGAGCGTTTATATACTCGCTCAGTGGGCACCGAGTGGGCGTGGCAAAATCTAGCCAACCGAGTCAGAGCCCACTGAGCGTAACAGTTAGATTTCCGCCACTAGAGTAGTGGGAACAAACACTGAAAAAAATATTGTTCATAATATTAATGAACATTGATTATTAACTGTTGTTTCATTGGGACAATGATTTTTTTCATTAATATAGTGATTTGTTAATCATAGATCGATGT